GGTCTAAGAAGATGGTCTAAGAAGATGGTCTAAGAAGATGGTCTAAGAAGATGGTCTAAGAAGATGATCTAAGAAGATGGTCTAAGAAGATGGTCTAAGAAGATGGTCTAAGATGATGATTTAAGAAGATGATCTAAGAAGATGGTCTAAGATGATGATCTAAGAAGATGGTCTAAGAAGATGGTCTAAGAAGATGGTCTAAGATGATGATCTAAGAAGATGGTCTAAGAAGATGGTCTAAGAAGATGGTCTAAGAAGCTTTTAGGTAGTCAGGTCACAGCTCCTGCTGTTCTTCTGGTTGGGCTACCAGTTGGTGATACTGGTGTGGCCATCCTGGCATGATTGGATAAACCAGCTAGAATGACCACCATTAACTGGTATGACTACCAAAACCATTCAACCACCATGAAGATACATCCCTTAAGATCCTCAGCTATCAAACTGGTCAACCAGCTTAAGCTTAAGCTGTTTTTTTCAGAAGGGAAGTGTTAAAATGAAACATAAGACACCTGGAAAGCCCCGGGAAGTGAATCGAATGTGAAAACGCTCGCTGCATCAGGTAGCCAGTCACAGAAAAACCTCCAGATTCCTGAAGAGCACAGTTAGGCTTGGGTCCCCGTTACCTCCCGCCCGGCACAGCCAGGCACCTCTCGTCATGCCAAACAACCAATTTATCTTACAGCCAGTTAAGATTAATATTTGCAAGACTAAAAGTTTCTCAGTTTGCAAACAGTAAATTAGATTCTCTGTATTTGCAGTTACCTGTATTTTGTAATCTATCGGGCAAAGTATTGTACACTGAAAAAATAAAACAAAGCTGTTGTTCATTCATTATGTTTCATCTCATTCCAACAGTTTAAAATGATTAGTTTGTTCTTTTAAATGTAACTTTCTAATTTATGTTTATGGTTGAACTGATTTTTTTCCAGGATAAACGGAATATATTATTTACATTGAGGCAACTTCAAATATTTTGTGTGATCAGTTACTTGAAATATTTTAAGCTGATCCAACATTTCCAGCATTTTATTTTTTCAGTGTAGGTCTATTAGAGTGGTTTGGCCTTAAATGAAGCCTGAAATGTTAATATCGATGCCTCCTCCAGAATAGGCCGCATTCTGGAGCATTTCAGGCCCCTTGGTTAATTCTGATGACAAAAATCAACAACTAAGCAATGAACAGTTATATTTCAACACTGGAGATGTTCCTCTGCAGCCTCTTTAGTGCCCAAAACTGAAAACAAAAGCTGGTAAATTCAGAGCTTTTGTGCCTTTAGCTAGTGTGATATTGTGTAGTGCAGAAGGATGATAGGTGTGACCTAAGAAGCCATAAGGGGGCAGTAGCGAGCCGGGGCAGGAGGTGGCTTCTTTGGTCGTCCATGAACACGGTGTCTACTGGGAATGAGCCAGTGCCCCAGCCCCTTGTCCAAATCCGAAGCCTTTGGGGCCAAAATTCTTGGCGTAACACCCTGTGGGGACATAATCAATGTTCAGTTTAGTAAACATGTCGTTACATGGAAACTGAGAGAAGTTTACTGACAGATGTTTACATGTGGAGAAGCACACGGAGAATGTATCCTGCCAGTGCTACTAGTTCACTTCTGTGCTCGAATGCGTATCAAGGCATTAGGTTCCGAATGCTTCCCTGTGCTATATGCTGCCTTGTGATTTTAAAGACAGCAAAGCTGAGACCTTTGCAGTAGATTTCTCCATCCTTGTCCGCCAGAGTGGTCGACTCCAATCCCTTCCCACATTTGGCACAGCGGAAGCAGCTCTTGTGCCAGGACTGGGTGGGATGAAGAGGCGAGAGTTACAAAACGGAGACAGGAAAAATGTTATGTGTTCATTTCAGCGTAACCTATGGATCTAAGGTCTAACTGGAGACCATTTATAAAGGAGTGAATCAGGTTTAGTGTCTGCTCTCGTTTATGAGCATTAAGTCCACTTTGGGAGAGTGTCTGGCTGAGCGGGTTAGGCGTTAGCAGCCGGAAGGTTGTGGGTTCAATATGTCAGGCATATTAAACATATCACTTTCAGGCACATGAACAGGGTATGTAACCCCACCAACAGCTCCAGGGCTGCTGGAGAGCAAGATGGGATGTGTGAATATTGAATTTTGTTGTACTTGCAACTCGTACAGTGAAAATAAAGGCATCAGTTCTTCTAGATCAGTGTTTTCCAATCCCGTCCTCAGGGACCTATGGACGGTTCACATTTTTGCTCCCTCCCAGCTCCCTGCCAGAGAGTCTGTGGGTAGCCGAGGACTGGATTGGGTCGAGACCATCACAGCTGCAGCTACCCAGTCTGCCAGGAGGCATATCTCCCACTTACGTTTCCGCCCCCGATCACTTTCTCCGCAGCGTAGACCGCGGTGCAGCAGCGGGGGCACACGTCAGAGCCACCCGTCTTCTGGGCAAACTTGGATGGGTTGGGGTTATTAGTGGGCCGGTGAGGTGCCTGTCTGAAAAGGCAGCGTGATTGGGGAACATCTTCAGTGATAAAATATAGGGTTGCACTTCAATTTTGTGTTGTTTTTCGATAGCTATTGTAAGCTGTACATTTACAAAAAAATCATTAACTTGGATTTTAAAGTATTTTGAGGTGAAGGAAAAGCATAAATGAATTACAGTTCAACATGAGTTTTGGTTAAACTATTTTCTCCTAAATAAGCCTTCATATCCAGTCTGAGCTACCAGTGACATCATTTATCATGCACATAACGTTCACCTACATGGGGCTCACAAAAAATGTCACGTGTTATTTCTTACTGGTCAGGTTTAATTCCCAGTGCATCGCCTGTGTCCATGCTCAAAGTTCCGGCTCCCCCACCGTATCCATAGCCTTTTGGCCCATACTTCTTGCCGTAGCAGGACTTGCAGTAGATTTCATCAACATGGACTGCGACTGTCGTACTGTCCAGGTTCTTCTTACAAGTCACTGGAACAGGGCAGGGAGAGTAACACAAATTTCAGCCGGTTCCCATACATTTCCTTCAGTCCCCTAAGATTTTCTGTGCCAGGGAGAGCATGAAAAGTACACTCACACACACACTCACACACACAAACACACACACACACACACACACGCACACACTCACACATACAGGTTTGTAAGTATATAATTGTGGGGACTCTCCATTCATTTGTATGGGGAAAACTCTAATCCTAACAAGAGGACCTTAACCCCTACCCAGGCCTAAGCTTAACCATAAGTAACTAAACTAAATATGAGACTTTTGGCATTTTTAGTTTTTCAATTGCATTCACAGTCTTGTGGGGACCTGAAAAACATTAAAATAACAGGTTTTTATCACAATGTGGGGACATTTGGTGAATGAATATATGAATACAAACGTGTGTGCGTGTGTGTGTGTGTGTATTATTCCACAGCAGATGTGCCCCAGAAAACAGGAAAACGGATGAGCTGAAACTGGTGGTGTGGAAAATTTTAGGAAGTTCTGAAGAAGGGATTTATCCTGGGCATTTCCCGTGTATCCCGTGTGTTCATTGTGTGTCCATTGTGTGTCCATTGTGTGTCCCATGTGTCCTGCGTGTGTTTCCATGTGTCCCATGTGTGTCTCGTGCGTGTCCCATGTGTCTCCCGCATGTGTCCCATATGTCTCGTGTGTGTCTCATGTGTCCCATGTGTGTCCCATGTGTGTCTCATGTGTGTCCCATGTGTGTCTCATGTGTCCCATGTGTGTCCCACGTGTGTCCCATGTGTCCTGTGTGTCTCCCGCGTGTGTCCCATATGTCTCGTGTGTGTCTCATGTGTCCCATGTGTGTCTCATGTGTCCCAGGTGTGTTCCATGAGTGTCCTTGGTTTTCCAGGTTGTCAGTATGACAGTGAGGTTAAACAGACTGTGAGGTAGCTTATCTCCCAAGGTTCTTGGTACTTCACTGTGCCTAACAGCATTCCTGCAAGCCGCTAACACACTGGCCGCTGTCCTCCCACTGCGGGGAGATGGGCTGCATGGTGTCATTAGTGCCTCTCCTAATATGGGCACTGTTGTTTAAACACGCATAGCAAAGACATTTCAGAAGCCACATATTCCACATTCCTTCTTTGTGATGAGAGGCAGCCATAATTATTTTTCCAGAATAATTTTTCCAGAGAGTTGCATTGCACAGAGACACTGGAGCAAGCATATACATTAAAATTAAAATTAAAGTTTAAATGCTAAATGCGCATATACATATAAAATAAGCAGAAAATTCAATTTTACAGGTAAATGCTACATATGAGCCTGAAAAGCGGAAGTTTACTTTGTTTATAGACTATGATTTGACGTCAAATGATCAAACGTCTTTAGCTCATTTGCATCTCATGTTCCCTTTAGTAGTCCGTGTCATCTGGTCAGTTTTAATGTAATGTTTGTTTTCCTGCACTAAGAAATTCGGAAAAGATCCCACTTTTAGGGTGGCTGTCTGCTCAGTCTTACAGCGATGGGAATCGGGAAATTTGGAAGCATGGAGGGAAGTAGCTCCCAACATAATGTTTACGATGTTTTGTTCCAGAGAGACGTGTTGAGGGATTGACGTGCAGTCATATGGGTACAGATAAGGAACGCATCATAGATCCTGAGCAGACCCACGGGTCCTGGTTAGGGGAAGGGGCGGCTGGTCAGACCCGCTCACTTACTGCAGAGGAAGCAGGACTTGTGGAAGCTCTTGCCCTCGCACTGCACTTCTTCGGCGAAGTAGACCGTCTTCTGGCAGCAGCCACACTTGTTGCCTCCTCCGAAGGGCATCTCGACGGGGCTCGAAGGCTGCTTGCAGAGCACTTCTGAGCTGGCAAACGGGGAATCGAGCAGGCTGGCGCTAGAAGGAACACAATCACAATCGCAGTGCATCAGACTTCAGAAAATCACTCTCAGGTCGAGAGAATTGTACTAGGCCCAAGTAATTGTTACATTGTAAACATTAGACTACGCCTCAGCTATTTGTCAGGCTGTGGGCATTACAGCAGGCCCAAGTAATTGTTAGATTTTGAATATTAGACTGGGCCCCAGTTATTTGTCAGGCTTTGGACATTAAACTAGGCCCTAGAGAAGAGATTTTCTCTTCCTCTACTGTTATTTGAATTTTACTTGTTTTACTTGTCTGTTGTTATTGTGTCAAACGAAATCTGTGGTTTGTTCGATTCTGCCCGCAGGCTGCTGCAACATGCCTGATCACCAAAAAGGAATCATTCATAACGGCAACTGGATTTTGGAAAGAGGAGTTGCCAGCCAGTAATACTTGTTTTGCAGTAGTAAGAAGCTGTCAGGTCTGTGTTTCCTGTCTCAATGGCAAAGCGCATGACCCTGTGCTTATTTAACAAATAAGCTGCCTTTGAAGGAGTGTTATCGTTACGGTCGATGACCTGCATATGTAGCACCTGTTCCACTACCCTTCCGCTCCCTCCCTGTCCTCTCCTTTCCCATCCTCCTTTCTCCTTCTTCCAAGGAACCCCGCTGTACTACACAGCGATGGCCTTATATGGCATAGGCAGTCGGCGCACCGGGAATGCGTTATGGGTCTGCTGGCAGATGCAGCTTTGGCTGCCTCCACAGCTTATGGATTGGCTGAATCCTTTCTCCACGGCTGATGCAAATTTCTCCACGGCTGATGCACGGCTGATGACAGAATTTTGCAGCAGATGGTACCACTGTCACTGTGGTTATTAGCCGACACCGTGGTCCACACCAGCAGAAGCTCCATCGGTGCATTCAGGAGTGTGTTCCCCCTGAAATCCTTCAGGCGCTGTGCCAAGAGGAACAATTGCAAGGCCGGTCTGGGTCCAACATTCTACCAACAGCATTGGTCATACACTCAGTGACCCGAGGATGTGTTTGTTCATACGCTTGTATGCAAAAGGTTAGACACTGATGGTCACGTTGCTCGTTTGCTTAATCCCTCAATTACTATGGTAGCACACCTTTGGCAGGACACCACCTCAAACATAAAGTTTTTACACTTCTTTATCTGCAATATCTTTTTTTCATTTTGTATACAGCTGCAGTATTCTTTTCCTGCCTTTCCTGTTTTGTAGAGCCGTCTTTATCCGATTTCATTTTCTTTGTAGCGTTTCTACTTGCTTATAATATTGATAGCGCGACAGCATGAAGACCAGTAAGAGTGTTTGTGTAAATTTGCATTCTTAAAATCGTATATAAACGTGGTGCTCGTTCAAGGAGAGGTGTGTTACTTTAAAAAGCTGCAGTGATTAATGAATTGTGCTTCAAAATGCATTCTGGCATGAGGGACAGACCCGCCTGCATAGAGGGAAATGATACATTGTTTTTTTTATCATGTCTCTGTGGTTTGTGAAGCAGGAAAGTTGGATGAAGTGATACACATATCAAAGCGGAATCTCCAGCCAAAGATACTGTTTAATTACCGTTCAGGTGGCCAGCTGAGAGGACTGTGATGATGGAAGCTGTAAACCCTGTGATTTGCGTACATGAAGAAAACAACTCATTTTTCCAGAGCTGTGAGCCCCAATGCAGATGTGACAGATGGTCCTGCAGACGTTGCTATGAGGTGCGCCGTGACTTAACTGGTAAGTTTTTTGTGCCCTGGAGATCCACTCGATCTCAAAAACCGTGTTTTGAATTCCCAAAGGTGAACCGCTGCAATTAGGAAGGCGGTCAGTCACTCTCACAAATGAGCTTCACCATTCAGAGAAGCTCCTCATTTAAACTGCAAGCAAATCCATGCATTTTAAATGAGTAACATAATGCTAAAAAAACTAGCTGAATACTTTTTTATGCTCTTAACTTGCCCGTCTTGCATCACCCGAGTGTATATGTCAGTAACAAAGCAGGTGCATCTCAAAAAGATAAGTCTCTGTTCTAGAAAGTGCAAAGATCTCCCTCCTGGTGTAACTGGATGGGAACACTGGCGATGAGTTACACGCTTTGAAGACAATGTGAAAGCTCTCTAATAAAGTGTTTGAGGCTTCAGGCCATTCATGCAACTGTTGTAGTCCTCGATTTAGTTCTAGTTGGAGTATTTCTGGTCTGTGTTATTCTTCGGGCTACCAACCGACAATAAAAGAATCAAACTAAGGAATGTTTCCTAAAACTGACGGGCAAGGCAGCCCAGAGGGGATGCTGACAAACTTTGGGGCTTTTATGCTACGTTGCCTCAACACAGAGAAAACTGAAGAGAGGGTGTCTGAGCACCATGGCAGCGACTGAACATCATCCTCCTGAACATGGCCATGTTTTAAACATCTGTGCCCAGATGGCTCTGCCACCCGCCTGCCGCTGACCTGCCCGTCCTGTCGATGGCACAGGAAAGTGACAGATTTACTTCTGTGTCCTGTCCAGCTGCTATCAATTTAAGATAAATGAGAAACAAACAAGATCCCCGGTTTAACAATATCTCAGAAAATGAATCCTTTATTGCATTTTTATAACAAATGCTGTAGTAACACTTTTTATGAATGCCACGTCTTTAAGAATCTTTGAACACATTCATAACACATTAAAATGCATCCATAAAGCATTATAAACACGGCTATGACTATTTATAAAAATCATAACACAGAGCTTTATGAAGCTTTCATCTATAATGCACTATAGATACCCTCATAGTGCAGTACAAAGTATCCTTAATTCTTATACCAACCATTATAATACATTATGAAGGAATCTATAGTGCATTATAGATGCGAGCTTCACTGGAGCTTATGAAGTATTATAATCAACACTGAAATGCCTTATGACTGTCAATGGAAGATGCTGTAATACTTTACTAATTCTTATACTGAACATTATACAGCATTATGAAGGCACAGAAGGAAACAATTTGTTACACCAGAGTCATAAAACTCAACACTATTCCAGCTGTGTGGACTTAGAGATACAGACGAGGTGGGCTCGTGGCCCCCAGTGCCCCCCAGCACCTACCTGCTCTGTCGGCGCTGGGGCTCTGGGCCTTGGGTGGGGAGAGAGTGTCTCCGCCTTTGCTGTGCACTCCTCTGGGCTGCGGGTCTCCTGTGTTTGCCCTGGAGTGACACTGAGGAGAGGAGGGTGCTCCACATCAGGACGCAGGGCGGGGCTCAGAGTGTGTCGAGAGGGGGAGGGAGGGAGAGAAGAAGGGGAGAGAGAGAGAGGGGGAGAGAAAATGAGAGTGAGAGAGTGGGAGAAGGAGTGGGAAAGAGAGGGAGAGGGACAGGAAGGGGAGGGAAAGAGAGAGAAGGACACAAAGAGAGGGATGAAAAGAAGGTGGAAGAGGGAGAAAAAGAGAAGGGGAAGACAGAGGGTGTATAGGGAGAAATAAAAATAGAGGCAGGTGGGGAAAGCAGGCACAGAATGAGTCGATGTCGTGTGGTTTCATTGATATGTGGACTTTTATCTTTAAAAGACGTGGTACAGCATAAAGCACACTGGCTGCATTTAAATAATAGCAACTTTGCAAGGAAATAAAGGAACAAGAGAATGAGAGGGGAAATAAAAAACAGAAAGAAGAAGAGAAGGTTGTTTTAATGTGCTTTTTTTTGACAGTGTAATTGCTTTTAATTATTACCATATTGTTGCGTTTTATTGAGGAGAGAACGCTCTGGCAGCGTCAATGAACCACTTACATGCTGATAAATCCGACTCAGCTGAGACAAAGAGATGATAAAAGTAGCAGATGGGGAAACGAATCGCCATCCATCACTGCGAGGAATAAATAGTAAAACAATAGTAAATATACAGTGAAAAATCAGTTGAAATAGTCAAGCTTGCATTGTGATCTGCTGGCAGACAGACTGCTTTTTCCCCCGGTTTCTGATTGCTGTCTTTGAGCACAAAGCCATCATGTTGTTTTTTAATACAAAAGCAATGCCAAGACAATAACCGGGAGGCGTCCCGGAGGGGGATCGAACCCGAGTCAGAAAGCTGGACTCTGTGTGTCAGAGATGAAAGATGCATTAGCAATGAGCCCCTGCACTGTAAGACACCCATCACTGCCCTTAACTGTAGGCCTTTGCGTTATTGCTTGTACTTGATCAAATCCAGTTGACCTAATCATCAAATGATTTAAGAACGTGGGGTGGACATGTGACTGCATTCCTGACATCCTTCCACTTTGGTAACTCCAGTTCTCTTCAGTGTGTTTTTGGATGTTGGGGGGGGGGGGGCTGGAGTTCCTAGAGTAAATCCCACGACGACACGGGGAGAACATGCAAACTGCACACACAGATCAGAGACTCCAACCCTGATCCCAGAGGTGTGAGACCACAGTACTAGCCACTGCACTGCTCCTTTTGAATTTTCCTCAGGAAGCAACAGAAATCGAAATGACTACTGCCCTCTGCAGAGTGTAAAAAAGGAGAAAAGCCGCTACTGTCAGTGAGGTGACTTACACTTAGGGACAGCAGAAATGGTGACAGTTTAGGGCCCAGGTCATGTGACCAGGAGGCTGGCCCATTCGCCCATGGTGGCTCCCTGGAGAATCGGCTTTGCAGAGACATTCCAACAAGTAAAATTCCCTTTTTAGCTCTTCAGTGTGATGTCCCCACGATGATGATACGTCAGTACATGTGCACATATAAGTGTGAGTTTGGGTATGAGAATGGTGCAGTGCATCGGTGTCCATTTCGGGGTGCATCTCTCTTTGTGCAGTGTGCTTCCCAGGACAACTGGCTCGGGACACATGGTTACAGTTAATGGACAGGAGAGCCAATCCTGTCCATTAACTCCAGAATCGGCAACATTGTTGGACCTGCACAAGCTTAACAGTGCTATTTACGTCGTACCACATTACTCAGATTTCCACAACCAGTGTTCTTTAAAATGCAGCTTGTATAATCAAAGTTTTTTTATTATTTTTATGAGAAATCTGCAGTCCATTATGTGTTTGACAGCCTGTAATTAATCTTGTACCCTTAAATGTACGAAATTCTGCAAACTGCTATATATATTTTTTATACTTTGTCCCAGTTTTTTTTAAGAGGGTACAATAAAAGATATTAATTAGGTGGCCGTCAGGGACCTCGTTAGGTCTATTTTAGGTGGGCTTTTGCCCCACTCAAATGTTTTTTCGCCTCCCCCCCAAATAAATGTACACTAACTAGTTTAAACAATGTGGGCCATTTTAATCAGACCCCCCCCCTAATAAAGCGTTAGCCCCCCTTTCATAAATTTCTAGTGACACTCTTGGTGGTCATGGATAATTTTGGATTTGCACAGCATCCTGGACTTCTGCTGCAGCTCGGGGTGTGATGGCTGGAGATGGGAGGGTGGTCTCCACACGACCTTACAAGGTGTTTGTTATGGTGAGAAACCCCTTTCCTCTCCCAAGAGATTACTCATGTTCTCCAGCCCGAATGACACCATGCAGGAGTGAACACGCCAAGCTATATACAGCAGTCGCTGCCACAAAGGGATGCGATGCCTCATTAAATTCTTTACTATTTTGATTTCTTTGCATTTTGAGCGGGGGGGGGAAAGACATTAAGAGGTTAGAGTAAAATTTCAGCCCGTTCAGTGCTGCCGGTGATGCCGTTTTGAAACAGTAGACATGGGTGTACAGGGTTCATTTCACCCGTGGGGGGGTGGGGGGGTCGCACTTGCACCTACATTCCAGCTCTGTCTTATTTATTGTTCGTCTAATCAGACTAAACACAAAAGCGGTGTATTCTGTTCCACATGGAGCCTGCAGCAGCCGTAACTCAAGGCAGAGAGCAGGCATGAGCTGCCAAGTGCAGGATGTTCGTTTTCTTCTTATTGTTTGTTTGTTTTTTATCGGCTGATTTGTAAACCTGCAAATGTGCAACATGTATCCATGAATTTTTGGATGTGTGGTTTATTCAGAAGTTACGTTCAACATGTGCAGAAACTCATTTCCGTTTTGCCTTATTTTATCTGGTCATAATGGACATGAAATGAAATTTATTGAATAGCTTCACAAACCTATCATTGCACCTTTATAAAATTAGGCATGAAAATTTCTTTAATGTCTTCTGTGGATATGTATCAGAAATATCAGTTTCATCCATCTTGCATAACTGTTTATCCAGTACACTGAGTACAGCGTAGTGGTGAGCCGAAAACCTCCATCTCAAGGCACAGTAAAGAAAGCAAGGGACACCCTGGACGGGACACCACAGTGAAGGGGACACCCTGTATGTGACACAACAGTGAAGGGGACACCTTAGAAAGCACGCCACTGCAAAGGGGACACCCTGGACGGGACACCACAGTGAAGAGGACACCCTGGACGTGATACCATAGTGAAGGGGACATCTTAGAAAGCACACCACTGCAAAGGAGACACCCTGGACGGGACACCACAGCGAAGGGGACACCCTGGACGGGACACCACAGTGAAGGGGACACCCTGGACAGGACACCACAGTGAAGGGGACACCCTGGACGGGACACCACAGTGAAGGGGACACCCTGGACGGGACACCACAGTGAAGGGGACACCCTG